ATATAGTGTAAACGATTTGTTTGGAAAAATGGACAACAAATAACCTTTCGTTTTTGTTAGGGAAAATCAAATTTTCCATGTGTTATCCCCAGCAGCCACTCGTAAATGTCCTTTTATTCTACTTAAAATCTATGTACTTCTCAACCCTCTTCGAGACTTGATTGCGAAAATGGGGCACCTAAACCTGTCACTATTTGACGGACTATTAAAAAGAAATTTAAGAGACACTTAGTTGAAGGTTTTCACTTTATTGGGACTGAGCCCCCCAAGGACAAACTCGTGGCATAAAGAAAAACGAGAAAAGTTTTCTAAATTGGTCAATATATGTCAAATCTGAACTATGAGTGGCTGCGAAAAATTTACTAAATTAAATAATATATTATTGCTGTTTTAATGGCTAACTCCAGAAAATCATCATTTCGGAAACATTCTAAAAATCATAAAAAATATGTACAAAAATGTATTTTCTAGTCTAATAATTATGTGGAATTAACAGAAGAGAGCACCTAGTTATAAAAGGCGGATGATATTTTCTAATATTTTAAGAATTAGTTAAGATTTCAGCATTTTATTTTTGTAAATTAGGTATTTTAAAAAAAAGGTTGTTATAATTTACACTTTTTCAAATTTCAAGCCTTTAACTTCCAAAAATTTCTCGGTATTATGTTTCTATACGAATCTGAGATTAAAATGCCTATTAACAGATGATTCCTCTGTGCTGTTTTTTTTTACTATTGTGACAGGCTTCTGGTTCACCTACAGTGAATCAGCGAGTCTGTGTGGTGCTACGAAGGTGACTCCCGTATAGGGGTTGCTCAGGCGCCAGTTTTGGTATCGCAGTTTACTCTGCGCCCTTGTGGTACACCAGAGTGTACTCAAGGTGAACTCAGTGGAGGTTAAAAAAATTCCAGGCGGTCACTGCTAGGTAGCCACTATACTGGAATAAATAAAAACAAAACACTTATCTCCTTTACACCTCGTACCCTACGGTACCCTAAAAGAGAACGGTTAAGAACCAGCAGTAAGAGAAACACACGAATAGGTAATAAAATATATATTTACAAAAAATAAATACAACAGTAATTAAATATGAACGGCTTCCTCTATTCGGAAAATTTATTAAAATAAATTATTAGAACTGAAAACTATTTAAATATTGATGGATCCATATATCCGGAAAATTGAAGAAAAATAAATTATTACAATTAAAAACTATTTAAATAGTGATGGATCCCTATATCCAATAAATTTATGAAAAATAAATTATTACAATTGGAAACTATTTAAAGGTTGAGGAATAATTACGGTTCGCTAGCACAGGAGGCCAAGCGGTCCGGGAATAATGAAAGTCCCTGTATAAGAAACATTTATTAAAAATAAATTAATACACTCTAAAACAATTTAAATATTGAGAAATAATTACAGTTTGCTAGCACAAAAGGCCAAGCGGCCTGGAAATTATGAACCTCCTTATATAAGGAAAATTTATTAAAAATAAATTAATGGTGGGTTCACGGAACTGAAATTTGGGATAATTTGACATACCTAACCTATAATTTGATTAGTTTTTCTTCTTATTGTTCTTCTATTCCTTTTGCGGGAAAATTCACCCATGATTTGATTTTTTATGAAAGAAAATATAAAAATGGAAACGTGAAGCATATTGTGTCTTTAGGAATGAACGTTTATTGTTTATTTCATACTCTTTTTACTTTGTTTTTCACAATAAAAACATCTCATTGTAGCTTGTTGACACAATTAAATGACAAATGGAAATAGAGGTTACGTTAAATAACATCCGGTCCGCCATATTATTTGCCCAAATCGGCCAATTTTTCGGAACGTTTTTTAGGGGGCTATATCCTATCCAGTAAAATAATACAGATCAGTGATAAAAATAGTTTGTCCTGTTGGACATGCTTTAAAATACAATGAATGTGGTATGTTCTACTGTAGTTGCCACATTTGACACCTCCGACTGTTGCAGATAAATTGAACGTGCAAATAAAGCATAAGTCAGATTTGAGTTTCTCGTTTTGACAAAATGTTGATGGTGGTATGATAACTTGCGATATTATATTTACTGATTTTTGGGTTTGTAAATATAGCATATTAACTAAGGAAAGTGTTTTTTTATGAAATAACAAAATAAAACAATAGGTTTTAATTAAAAACGATTTTCTCTGATGGAGCGGTATGTTCCAGAGATTCTACTTTGACATTGTCAAGTTGGAAATACTTTTCTTTTTTGATATTTTTTGCTTGAATTTGTACCAAAGGAGGGTTGTGATTAAAATTCAAACATTTAGTTCCAATTTCTAGAATATTAATTAAGGAAAACCTTTTAATAATATAAAAAAAAAACAATAAAGTTATAATAAAAAAGGATACTCTCTGTTTGAGCGGAATGTGCCGTAGATTCTACTTCGACTTTATCAAGCTAGAAAACCTTTCCTTTTTTGGTGTTACTTTTTGCTTCAATTTGTACCAAAGGAGGTTTTTGACGAAAATGCAAACATTTAGTTCCAGTTTCGCCTGAAAAGCAGCTAGTATGATTTAGGAATATTAAACTTTGGTTTTTCTTTGATCATGTTATTTGGTGAAGAGACATTATTTGAGGGATAGCAACATATTTTTTAGGCATCTCTTTTTTTGATGTTTCTATAAGTTCACTGCTGACTTCTAAGATTTCAATAAAACTGTTTTGTGACACATTCTTGATAAAAGATTCTGCAGACGATCTATCTGTACCAGATATTACTAAGCAGTCTGCTTTTCTTTTTAAAGCACCTCCGACACCGTCCATTGGACCCTTGCCGTGGCCGCTTGCACTATAATTACAGCTAATTGCTTGTATGTTTTTAAAATATTTGGGTATCTTAGAAATTAAAAAGAAACGGCTTTTATATTGAGATATTGGGCCATCTGAAAAAAAATGTAACTTAAAAATGACCGGATATTTAGTAGAAATATTTAGTAATATGTTACGTGAAATTAATTTTAAATTAATTTCAAATTTATTTTTAACAACAACTTCTCCATAACCCCTCGTAACGCAACATCTGTATGCTTGCCCTAGCATTATTACCATTATCGATTTTTACAAAGCTTCGCGTTCGCGCATGATCTGCTGATATCTGCGCATAGCCCATAGCGGTTCTTTTAGCAATCAGTTCATATAAAACCTTAAACGGTGAATTAATTTACCTTTTCTGGTGTTTAAATTTAATTTATATGTACTGAAGTACTGGCTCCAAGAAGAGGTTACTCTTCCAAGTAGTAGCTCCAAGACGATCTTCCAAGTACTGTCTCCAAGAAGAGGCTACTCCTCCAAGTAATGGTTCCAAGTAGTACTTCCAAGTAGTACTTCCAAGTAGTACTTCCAAGTAGTACGTCCAAGTAGTACCTCCAAGTAATGGTTTCAAGTAGTACCTCCAAGTAGTACATCTAAGTAGTACCTCCAAGTAGTATCTCTAAGAAGAAGCTCTAAGATCCTTTAAAAAGCTCCAAGCTCCTCCAGGAAGCTCCTAGTTGCCTCTAGCTTTAAAAAAGGGTAGTACCGTACCTACGTACTAAAATACCACATGGTAACCATCTATCGAAGTATCTAACAGTAAATTTAAACAATGATTCATTCTTTAAACTCTATTCACTAACTATTTAGTTTGTAGACTTTTGTAATACTTAAATTTTACTTTTTTTTTATTAAATGTATTAAATATTCTCACTTTCTTTTATTTGCCAGAACCCATATAGATAACTTTAAGTACCAGAGACGGACTTAATTAAACGGGACATTTAAAATCAGATAGGTTTTCCAAGTTACTGAAAAACTTGGTGGCGCAAAACTTTTTTTTGTCGTTGTCTTATTTTAATATATTTCATTTTATCTTAAAGTAGATCTTCGCCCGCGAACAGGTCAAGCTACTCTGATTTTATTTGTCCTGGTCAATTTTTGAATCCACGCATATCAGCAATTTGAGCTAAATTACTTATTAAATAAATTAACAACATAGAAATCTAAAAAGAAAGTAACAAATAGTTTGTCAAGGTGCGCCCAAATTGCATGACACTGGTGATCGAGATTATCACTTACGGAACAGAAGCATTTACTTTTAATTAAGTTTGTTGAATTTTCTCGAAAATAATATATTCCTGTATGTAATGAAATTTGCTTTTTGGATGCTCCAAAATGCATTGATTGTATTTCGATAGAATATTTCGCTACGTAATTTTCAGAGAAATCAACCTGAATTATTATTTCATCATATTTAAGTGACTGTTTTTTTTTATGTAACTGTAGCATTTGGTTTTCCATTATAAAAACATGTTTCAGAAAATCGATGGCTTGTTTATTTAGAATTTCAAATATTTTTTTAGACTAGAAGTCCTTTGAATCTTTACTGTTCTTTTGATTTGTTTCTTAATATCTTTAATATATCTCTCTTCAGCTTTAGTTTCCCACTGATAGTATCTTATTTTTTCTTGTAGTTTACCTTTAGCTTCTATTTTAAACTGCAAATTTTTTGTTTGCAACTAAGGCAACGTCTAAACATATAATCAATTTTTTTTTTGTGTCACAAACTAGGTCATTTATTAGTTCCCTAGAATTTCTTGCATTTATCAAATTCGCCCTTTGCAAGCTAGAAATAATAAAATATATATCGATACCTTTCTGCCATTGGAACAAATGTCGCTTACGTTAGTCTAGCAAAAAGGTATCGATATTTTCATGTTTAATATACGCACACGTATTTCTATCTTAATGTGTTGCTCGAACTATCCAAAATGGCTTGTATTTTATGAAAGTTGTCTCTGAAATATAAAGACCTCCACTGTCAATATAATTTTTGTATAAATTTTTAAGGGAATCCAGTAAAAGTCGTTTCCGTTTTTTGATTTTGCCCTTTCGAACATAGTCTTTCTTGCCAGGACACATTTTTGAGCAGTAATCTTTTTCCAGAAACTCTTTAACAGATATTCGAACTTTCTGCGTTTTTTTATTGTTTCTTTTTTTCCTGCAATACTGATTGAATGGTAATGTATTGCTTTCTCAATATTTTTCCACTAATTATTTTAGCCGCAATTTGTTTTTCAGTTTGTGTTTTCAGTTGTTGTACGTTTTCTTTTAACTGTAAATACAGCGCTTCTTCTAACACTAGCCGTCTTTTAACTCCTTCAGGTACCTTAAATCCTTCTACTAGTTTATTTATCTTTGTTGCTTGAGATGGAGTTTCAGCTGGTAGTCTTTCTTTACTAGACTCTAATGCTGCAATTTTTAATTTTTGTCTCCTATCCTTTCTTTGAGAGTTTCTAAGTTTATTCCTTAAGTCTTCTATAATCTTTTGTGACTTTCTTAATTTTCGATAACATTCAGCTCTGTCATGTTTTACCTTTTTACGACCTTTCTGACTTTTTACTAAGTTAGGGGTTTTAGGTGACTCACTAGTTCCCGCAAGTTAAATATCTTGATAATCTTCATTATCACTTATTGGAGGTGAATTATTGTCTAAAAATGTTTCCATTGCCGCCTGCGACTTCTTACTTTTTCGGTACTCTAGACTAGCCACTTTCCATTTTTTTCTTATATTTCTCTGTTCTCTTTTATCAAGATCTTTTATACTTTTTATACGTCCTTCTTCCTTCAATTTTTTGGATCTCTCTCTATCTTTTCTACGTTTTTTCTCTCGCTTTTCATCGGTCATTTTGGCTTTTTTCTTGTAATCTTGCCGTTTGTATCATTTTTTTTGGTTTTGTTTTTAGGGCCTTTTTTAAGATTTTGTTTACTTTGGTTTGAATATTTAAGTCAGCCTTTTTTATTTTTGTGTTTTCTTATTTTTTTCTTTATTTAAAATATCAATCTGGGTCGTTATCGTGTTCTGTTCTTCTAAGTTTTTATGTCGGTGTTTATCTGTAAATTCTATAATATTGCTGACTTCTTTTAACACAATATTCCGTATTTTTCGTTGTTTAATAATATTGTCTAACTCGTCGTTGTTTGTATTTTGCTGTGAGTGTTTTTCTTCAATATCCAATAATCTGTTCTTATTTCTTTCTAAATGTATTTTACTGTTTCTACTTAATCGTCTTTCTTCTTTTTTTTCTTTTCTTTTGTTTCTTATATTTTTTATTTTTTTATAAGCTTCTTCGCTATCCTCTTTAAGCTTGTTTTTTAATTCTAATACTTTTTTGGGGTTCATCGAATTCTGAAATATTTATAAAACAATCGTAAAAAATATTTATACAAACATAATGTGGTAATATAGTATAAAACGATTAAAATATTTCATATTCCAAAACAATTTGCAATCAGTATTATACATTTTTACACCAACAGATCAATTTAATTGCGAACAAATCAATCTGTCCTAGGCCCTAGACCTAATAATAAAGGGTTACCTAAGGGATCTGTTTTGAGCCCTGTTTTATTTAATATGTACACAACCGATTTACATAATATTGAAATAAATAATACATTATCATTTAACATACAGGTGATATAAAATAAAAAGTAAGGTTAGTTAATACCGAGCTGCATGATTTTATACTTTAATTAATAACAATAAAAAGCTTACCTGGGTACTATTATTAATATTTGATAGCATAGCAATTATCTTCTGTCCTCTAGATAATATTACCTTTATAATTATTCAAAAGAAGCAAAAAGTAAACAATATAAACAAACCACGACACTTTCACTTTCAATCCATAAAACGTAATGTTAAGTACAACAGTTTCAAAAGGTGTGGTGGTAAAACCAACAAATGTTGACTTATGTTGCTCTTGCAATCAACAAAACGCGTACGCGCATAATAACTGCAACGGGTTTCTGGAAAATTTTGACTTAGGTTTGTCTTGCAGTAAAGAATATCCTACAAGATTATTAAGGAATAGAAGAATGTAAAACATATTTTGACTTATGGTAGTCTTCATTTAAAGAGTAACTATACTCGGACAAAATATTAGAGAAAGTGAGTCATATGCATGATCAACACTATTTTCTACGAACGAAAATTTCGACAGAGTCAGCATAGGCGTCGTATCAAATACCAAATAATTATTTATTATTTATTAGGTATTTGTTGGTAAACTTTATTAAATTTGTCAACATCTTTTAAGAAATGAATATATTTATTCCCTAATGACTTCGTTATCTGTGTTTAATGGTTTTAAAATGTGTTTCAAGTAAATAAACGACAGACGGGTTACAGATTGAATATTGTCAGCACAGGCACAAAGAGTGCTCTTTTCTGATATACGAGTAGGTGTTCATGTTTGTGCCTTACAATTTGCTAGTGGTAGGTAGTGCATATTCGAGGAGTTATATTTATTGTGTAGTATATTAGGTAGGTACTTTAAAAGTTTACTAAATAGTAAAATAGTGGTGTCTTTATAAATTTAATAAAAACAATTTAATAGTAGAATTATATTGTTACAATATTAATGGATTCAGAGGCGCGTCCAAGTAAAACACAATTACGTCGGCGAAATTCCTTATCAAAGGATGAACGAACATTATATGGAAAGTGTATGATGGGCTGAAACAGACAATTCCTACAAATGAAGCTGTAATCCGCAGTTCTTTTTTAACTGGAGTATCTGTTTCAACAATTGAACGTATTGTACGCGAAAAGACAAAAAAAGGCTCCTTAGAAGCCCCTAAAACGCATACCCGTGGTCAAAAATTGTTGAAATTGGACGATCAACAAAAAAAAAATCATTCGAAGAACTGTAAATTTTTTTTTTTTTTTAAACAAAGCCCCAACACTTAAAGTTGTTCTTTCGAAATTAAGAGAAAACGAAGAAATTCCATTAATTTGCCGTAAAACTTTACGAAAAATTTTATGGGGCCTAAAATTTCGTTTTGTCAAACGGTGTAGGAAATCAATTTTAATTGAGATGTCAGATATAGTGTCCTGGCACCGGCGTTATTTACGAAATACTAAAGAGTTTAGAGCCGCTTAAAAAAAGATATACTATCTCGATGAAATGTGAGGAATGCTGGACACACGGTATCTAAGACATGGCAAGATACTTCTGTAACTAGTCATCGCCAAGCTTCTATAGAGGGATTATCTACATGTTTGAAAGCACCATCAGGTAAAGGACAGCGCCTAATTGTTCCCTATATCAAAAGTGATAGTGCATTTTTGGAAAATAGTGCTCTTGTGTTTATATAGAAATAAACCGGAGTTTACCACGAGGAAATGAATGCGGAATGCTTTAAAAAATGGTTTACTGAAGTGTTACAGCGTGTGGAATAAAATTCAATTATTGTACTAGATAACGCTTCTTATCACAGTCGACGAGTTGAACGCATTCCGATAATATCCAGTAGGAAAGCGGATATGCAAACCTGACTGCGGGATAAAGGAATAACATTTACTGAGGAGATGCTTAAAGTGGAATTAATGGACCTAATAAAGGAACACCGCCATAAATATATTTAATATGTTCTCGAAACAATGGCTCGTGATCGTGGTATAACGGTATTAAGACTTCCCCCTTATCACTGCGAATTCAATCCTATTGAACTAATTTGGGCGCAAGTGAAAGGATTTGTAGTTCGAGATAATAAAACTTTTAAAATAGCCGACGTTCAAAGTTTATTAAAAACCGATATAAAACGTATAAAACCTGAAGATTGGCAGAATGCTATTTCACATGTAATTAAGGAAGAAAATAATATGTGGCGCTTGGACGGTATGATCCAAACCTTTAGTCATAACTTTAAGTTCCGACGATAAAGACGATTCCAGTGATAGTTCTGCAGAATCAATGGATTACGAAACTTCATAGATTTAGAATTCAAGTAAGTGATACCAAGCTTAATTTATATATTTTTATAATAAACAAAATACAATTATAAACATAGATGAATTATTATAACAAAAATAGATAACCAACCTACTTTCATCTAGTAATATTTACAAATACCCATTTAATTTTCCAATATAGTATTTCTGCGACACTGGAAGAGTGCATTTTGAAATGATAACGATTCCTTTTACAGTTTTAAGGCGCACCCTTGTTCTAGTTTAATACCTTATTTCATTTTCCAATAGTGTTTCTACGCCACTGTCATAATATTTACATATTTTAACAATAAACAAAACAAAATTATAAACATAAATGAATATTACTACAAAAATAGATAACCAACCCACTTTCATATAATATTATTTACTATTACCGCATTTAATTTGCCAATAGTTTTTATACGCCACTGGCGTAATTCATTTTGGCAATAAACATGCATTTATGACAAGTTGCCACGTGATTCCAAAAACTTCTGCAGTTTTAAGAGCGTGATTCCATTCATTATGCTCTGGTATAGTATGATTGTTGTACGTGAACAGGAAGGAATCGCCTTCTTCAATATTTTGTCCGAGTATAGTTTAGTTACTTATAATACTTTAAAACTAAATATGTTGGTATTGTATTTCTGCATTTCAAAAGTTCAAAAAGGAACAACAATATTTTTAGGTATGTTGATGTTGTATCAGGAAAAGTATTTTCAGGAAAAATTCAATGGTTAAACTCTTGTTATTTATAGGACATTCTTTCGATTTAGAGTATGTTGGTATTGTATTATCAAAGTTAGCATCTAAAACACTATAATGCCGCACAAATCTCAAAATCGATAAATTTTGAGTTATGGTGGTCTTGTACTCATAGTGCGATATGTATTAATACAGGAGATAGTTGGAGACGATTTTAGTATTATGATTTTAAACTGTATTGACACAAGCAAGAAAACATTGATTGCAGCAAATGAAGAGGATGTTTCAACAGTTTTGTTTAGTCGGATTTTTGGAATACTAGAAAACCCCCGTTCAAGATATGATGTATTTAAAAGTTCTGTAATAAGTGTTCATCTTAGATAAAAGAGACCAGAAATATAACATACACCGGTGTTTAACCTGCACAAATATTTCCAATTTCTAAAGAAAGGTTAACGGAGTAGGAGAACTGGGCAGAGACCCAAACTCTGTGACAGGGATCGGACTTTGTTTATTAGCATCATAATGAACTATTTGATTTATTTAAAATATATGTTTAATAGAATTTTGTATTATGAAATAAAATTAACGTGATATTTTAATATTAAACAGATGCTACGACATTTTATGTAAAGAGAAGACCTTTTATAGAATATTTCAGCGTTTATTTACTACGAACTTTTCGATAAGAAACTACAGTAAAATGTTGAAAGAGAATATTGTTAATAGAGCAAGAAATGGTATGTCTACGAGTATTATAAAAAAAGCATGTGCGCAGGCGAATACTGCAAATCAAACCTTGTGAGTCGAACATTATATTTTTTCTACGGCTATTACATAATATTAAAAATTAGTCAAAATGAGCAAATAATGTTTTTTATTGTATCCTCAGCTTTTTTCTTTAGGAATATTAATTAAAAAAGAAGATGAATCACATAAAACTCTATAAATGTCTAAAACCAGATAAGATTTAAAAATGTAAACCTACTAAAAGTCATTTGGTCGCTAGGAGTGGGTGATTATCGAAATAAATTATCAATCTTTAAAAATATTCGATTATTTTCGATCGATCGATTATTTTCAAACATTCTATTTTTTTGTCGTATTTCCTTTAAAATCGACTATTTGATTATCTTTGAAAAATCAAAAATAATCGATTTATTAAAAGGCCAATTAACCGATAAATCAGTGTTTACAAAAAATAAAAAAATAATTATCGTTATATAAAATAACCAATTAAATTCGATCAATCGATTATTTTCATATAATACCGTTGAAAAATCGAAAATAATCGAATAATTGAAAAAACGATTTTCCAAAAAATCGATTATTTTGAATAAATCTACTTTCTTTTTGTATTTCCTCTAAAATCGAATATAAGATTATCCTAAAAAACAAAAATAAATTATTAAAAATAACGGATAAATCGACTTTCATAAAAAAATATCAGAATAATCGGTAAATCGATTATTTTTGTAACCCCTTTCGGTCGCTTGCTTTTATCCGAGCATTTAGCTCCAAAATTTAATTGTTTTTATTCCTGTTATCTTTAAAACCACATTCGATTGTATAATAAATAATAAATATTGCTAGAATTTGGACTTTTTAAGTAAACGAAATTTTTTTTTGAGTTGTTTAGGGGTTTAAAATGTAACATTTTATTAATAATGTGACTAACTCCCTTGCTTATACTAGATCATATTGTGCGTTTTATTTTGTTTTAAAACTTAAGATTTAAATGTCACTTTCGATTTGACCGCAAATATGATGAACCTTGAAATTTTAAGTAGATTATCCTGTATTTCACCTAATATTCTTATAAAAATACCTTATAAAAATAAAATTTAGCTAGCAACAATGCTTCTTTACCTCTTATTTATCTACCAAAAAGGGCCAAAAACTACCTTTAGTAAATATTCTTATAAAACTACTTTTTAAAAATAAAATTTCGTTAGCAACAATGCCTATTTACTTCTTATTTAAATTAAATGTTTAAAATTTTACCCTTTTGTAAATTTATATAAGTAATATGAAATCTGTTTTCTGAAATATGTATTTGATGCTAAATTTTTATTGGAACCCCTTAATGTGGATCTGAAGTATTCAGTCCAAAGGATCATGGCGCCTTATGTCAAAACGTTAATAAATATTTACCCCTGAAAACGATTATATTTTTTATCTTTCATAACATTGGTACTTGTATTATAAGTATATACAATTTTTGAAGATACATCGTGGTATTTTAAACTTAAAATTGAATAACTAGAACACTTTAAACAGCTGTCAATGGTGATTGAATTCAGGCGGAGGTGAGCTTTGAATGGAAAAATCGGAGCAATTCGGGTGGCGTCGTGCAAACAATGATTTTCAATTGGTGGGTTACTTGGGATTAAAATAGTCAACATGCGCAGTGTGCAATGTTATATCTTCGGTCTCTTTAATCTAAATTGTTCATTTGACTAAAAATGTTATTACCATTTTATATACGAGGCTTATTTTTACTTTCCTATCTGTATACAGATAAGAAAAGTATAGTAATCATGATTTTTTCGTGCGTGCGTGCGTGCGTGCAGGCGGGCGTGAATGCACGCGTGCGTGATAATAAGTTCCGGTTTTTACTGTTTCTTTTTAGAATTGATTTCTATTTTTAAAAAAACGTATATAAATTATAACATTCCATTTAAAATGTTCAAAAAAACTTCAAGAAAATGGATAATTTTCAAACAACAACAAATTTAGAACTATATTGAAATATTATACTAAGGGCCAGTCTTTTCACCGCTGAGTAAAGTTGAAAGAAAGTACTTGCTGATTTAACTATAGGGCTATTGTTTTTTATTCTGTCAAGTAAACCTACATATAACTTTACTTAAAGGTAAAAAGATCGACCTTAAATAACCAATTTGCTTTTAACCGGTAATAAATTTTTCAAAATCTGTTGAACGATACTACAGTTATAACAGTTTTATTAAGTTAATGTTCCTAATTATTAGACATATTACTGACCCTCAGGATAAACTGCCTTGGCTGATAGGCATACAAAGACTGCGATATAACCCTTATAGAAATTGTATCTTTTTCCTTCTGTAGCTCGCACCTGAATCACGATAGTGTAGTCTACTCCTTTGTTAGTAAATAGTGGGTTTCGGGATACTCTCAAATGAGGTAGCTCTACTATTGTCTGCTATGCGGACTGGGCCTTATATCTTATACATGTAGTATAATTATAAATAATATACTTAATCGCTTTTTTGCAGTTAACAATCCAATATGTTTGCCTGTAATAGGCTATTTCTTGGTTTTCACCAATTTTCACCATTGATGAGCATATGATGTTTTAGCTTGCCTTTAAGCCTTATAACTATTATACTATCTATGAAAGGGTTAAGTGTCGATAATTGGATTTATCTACAGCTTTACCTTTCAATAAAGATTTATATTCTTGTTTCAATTTTTCAGATTGTGCTAATTTTTTGATTTGCATAAGTGTGTTGTATGTCTTTTTATACAGTAACGGGTCTTTGAAGCTAACATCTTTTATGAATTCTTATCATTCGTATTAAGCTTAAAGATGTATCCCATATGCCACTGCTTTATTTAATATTGGTATAAAAACATACCTTTACTTCTTTGTTTGTGAAAATACCTATTGGGGTTTAAAACCAATTTTTTTTATTTCGTGTATCCATTTAGGACCTCTCCACCTTAAAGCATGATTCGATAGTTTTATAAGATCCATTTCTCCGGATATATAAAATATTGTATGCCATTATCATTTACGTGTGTCAATATAAAAATATTTGTGCCATTTACCCCTTTAGCCTGTCTATATAAAACCGTTTGGATCCTTTACCCCTTAACCTTACGCATATAAAAATATTCTGACCCATTTCACTGTACACCTGCATATGCAAAAATATTTGCTCCTTTACCTCTTAAGCTTGCATGTGTTAAACTTTTTAGGCTCTTCACCCCTTAAGCCTGTTCATATAAAAATACTAATTGGACTTTTTAGCTTTTTGATTCTAGTACGATATATTAGTGATTTGTTTTCCAATGACAGTGATTAAAAATATAGGTTATTCATTAACATTTACTTTCTATTATTTTTAAGATTGTATTCATTGAAAAATTAAGACCCCGTACTTTGTGAGCTGATTAATAACAGACAATAACAGACAATATAATTTTTTAAAGAGAATTTCAGTACTGTAAGCAATATCGCTTTGATTTACAGGAGAAAGAAATCAATTTTGGTTCAGGAAAGAATCCTATCGACTAACTTTGATTCGACCAATTTCTGTGTAGGATAAAAGTATAACTCATAGAATTTTGGCAACTACTGCAACTGCGCATATACGTGAGTTTCTGAAATTGCAAACATGATATTATTATGCTTATTTTGAAACACCTAGAAAATAGCTTTTTCCTTTCTCCCCTATCCATATCTGTCGTAATAGCTTGCAAATAAAAGGCCCAGTGTTTGAAACATTTGTTGAAATGGCTATAATTTGAGGAATACTAAAGCCATTATTGTGCCAGACAACAATTTGGAAAAATTTCTCGTTGATATATTTCATTTTATTATATGTAAATTAAAAGTATCCAATACACAGCTATAAAATTAGAATAGCACCACTCACCTCAAGTACCTTCTCAGGAATAAAATAATTGATTACTTATATTGTCAGTCTCACCAGTCCGTCTACGTGATTGGACGTTTAAAAACATGGTTACATCCTATACAGTGGTAGTCAAATAACAGGTATTTGTCTCTATAAAATGGTATTGTTTACTGTACCGTTCTCCTGGATTCAGGATTTTAGAGTTAACCGAGGGTAGAGGAAGGCACGTTCGGACATGGGGCACCTCCTGACAAATCAAATTTACCGCCTTCCAAAACGAGACGCCATTCGTTATTTTTACAGTTGGTAGTAGTGCTTGTGAAAGGCTGGCTGACAAAATTTCATGCCGGTATTCTATAAAATTAAAAAGTTATTTCAAGAAACAAAATTGAGGGAGCTCAAGTAAGTTTTTGTTTAACCTATTCGTTAGAGTGTAAAATAGTGAGTGTTGCAATTTTTCATTTTTTAAGTGATATACGAACAAAATATTAAATTTTTACAGTACATAACCTATATTTCAATTGGCATGAACATCTGTGTGCTTTGATATTTTGTGTTCTTTACAATATGTCGTGTGGGGCTCATTCGGACTCTCCGAAGGTGCCCCAATAAATTAATTGAGTTGTCCGGAGGTACACCATAAAACTAATTCATTTAAATATAAAAAAAATATTTATTCTTTAGTTTGTATAAAACAATCAAAATTTATTTTAGCATGGTTCGAAATTATGTTAAGAAACGAAATCGGCCTGAAGTTTCGGAACAAACCATAAATGAAGCTGTCTCGAATGTTCTTCATAATAATATGTCGATTCGTACTGCTGCATGCACGTTTGGTATCAAAAAATCTACTCTACATGACAGAGTTATGAATGCTAAGGTTAAAAATGCGAATAATTCTGACTCTGGTAATGATATTCACGAGGATCCAAAAGAGATTCCGCACTTATGTTACGCGGCAAGTATTTTCAATAAAGAAGGAAAATGAACTAGAAATATATCTCAAACATTCATCACAAATTTTATACAGTTTGACATATCAGTTAACCCTCAAATTGGCATATGAATATGCATTTAAATTAGAAAAAACTTTTCCTGCTCAGTGGAACACATACCAGATGGCTGGCGTCGAGTGGATGAAATCTTTTATGAAACGTCATCCAAAATTATCATTGAGGAAATCCGAAAACACCAGTGTAGCACGGGCTTCTTCTTTCAATAAACACAATGTTGAAGAATTTTTTAAGAACTATTCTGACGTTCAAGCTAAATACGCGTTTGGTCCCAATCGTATTTGGAACGCAGATGAGACTGGTATATCTACTGTATTGGAGGCACCTAGAATAATTGCCGAAACTGGCAAGAGAGTTGTAGGTCAATGTGTTTCAGGGGAAAGAGGCACACTGGTTACATTTTGTGGTATTATTTCAGCTATAGGTAGCACAATTTCTCCAATGTACATATTTCCCTGCATTCGAATAAAAAATTACTTTCTAAATGGCTCTGTAACTGGAGCTGTAGGGCATGGATCAAAATCTGGATGGATAACGACTACATTATTTGTTAAATTATTAGAACACATAAAAAAACCATACGCAAAGCAGTCCAGAAAGTCCTATACTTTTCCAAATATTATCCATATCTCAAAGTGGTCCGAAGTAGATTAAAGGGAAGTAAAAGACTCAAAGTCTGTCGACCACATAAATTTATTCGGTTGGGTTGCAAGCGCTTTCGACCTAAAAGGTCATCATCAGGCAAAAATTTTTGAAAGTGAGTAGGTAGGTAGGTACAATCACTATGTGTCCACAGAAAAAATTAAATGTTGAATTAAAATTTTAAATTGTAAAAATAAAAATTATACAAATTGGCACGTACTGCCTTCCAACCTCGAATGAGGAAGGCAGTACGTGCCAATTTGTATAATTTTTATTTTTACAATTTAAAATTTTAATTCAACATTTAATTTTTTCTGTGGACACATAGTGATTGTACCTACCTACCTACTCACTTTCAAAAATTTTTGCCTGATGATGACCTTTTAGGTCGAAAGCGCTTGCAACCCAACCGAATAAATTTATGTGGTCGACAGACTTTGAGTCTTTTATTTCCCTTTAATCCTATACTTTTGTTAATAGATAACCATGAGACACATGTGTCGGTAGAAGAATTAATTATTCCCACGATAATGGTATAGAGTGCTTTTATTTTTCCCACCACACTGTACGCATAAGATGCAGCCGCTGGATAAAGCAGTCTATAGTCCCTTTAAGCAAAAATGTAAAGTCAGTTATAACGATTACATCTTATCTAACCCAGGAACATCAATAACAATTTATAATATTGCTAAATTGACGTCAGATCCCTGCCTACAAAGCTTTATACCCAAAAATATTATAAATGCCTTTTCAGGCACTGGACTATGACCAGTCAATAGACTAATTTTTTCAGATGATGATTATTTTGGAGCATACACGACAGGCAGGCCATATCCAGAACTACTAGTAAATAATGATATCAAGAAATTGGAAGCTGATACTACTATTGACTCTAGTATTATACCTAAATCAAACGACCAGGAGGCAATTTACGCTGATATGTCCACATCTAACCATGATCAGACTCAAATAAATGTACCGTCTATCTCGGCGACTGCTCTTTTATTTAACAACCCAGTAACCACTTTTACTGAAAAAGAAGAAGTAACTGCAATTGTGCGATCCATAGTTGACGCAATTGTAAATGAGGTAGCCAAGCCATCCATCAATATTATTTCAATGCATGTTCTAAAGCCATTAGATATTAAACCATTTCCGAAGGCACCACCTCGAAAAACTAATAGGTAATCTCGTTTTGGAATCAAGAATCTACACAAGCACACCAGAGAAATGTCGCATTGAAGAATTAGAAGTAATGGAGGAGATCAAAGTGAGCCAAGTCTGACACGAAAAAAAAAGATATTAATAGATAGTTCGATCAAACAAGATTTCCAAAATAAAAAACCAATGACAAAAGAAAATATCCAACAAAAAAAAAAATAATAAAAATACTAGGAAGACAATGAAAAGAGGAAGGCAAAGTGACTCGTCTTCATCAGATTCCGAGCCTGATTTGGTTGAATCAACAAAAAAGAAATATAAATTTCTCAAAACTGCATCATCTGAATCAGATATTGACATGGAGTCTAAATACGATGAAATGGATAAGCTTTTAGGTAAAAAATACTGTTCTACTTTTTTGGTTTTCTGATGTCTCAATTTTTGTTTTTGCAGATGATGAGAAGATATCATGTGATGATCATATCTTGGTGAGATTTCCTACTAAGAGAACGGTTGTTTATTGTGTCGGGCAAGTAATACAGCTTGCAGAGTATGGCGAATTTGTTGTAAAATATTGGAGACATTTGCACAATCGTTTCCATTTCCCTAATGTTGATGACATCCCCAGTATTGCAAGATCCGACATTGAGGCAAAACTACCCAACCCAACTTCTGTTGCTGGCAATATCCACCTGGCAAGTTTTTTTAATTTAGCGTAAATTTTGGTTCTCTAAGTTTAAAATAAATATGTATACATTTTTATTGACTCTGTTAGTTCTAAAACTTTCTTCTGACGCAAAAACTATTTTTTTGTTTTAGTTCTATGATGTTTCTCAGAATATATTTTGTTGTTTTTTAGTTTAGTAGGTACCAAAGTTCCTCAAAGTTTAAGATATTGGGTACCTAAACTTTGTTAGAAGTTATTTATAATTTAATTAAATTTTTTAAAGAAAAACCTTTTATTATTGTATATGTCCGAAGCACCCCATGCTCGTCCAGAACTGCCCCACCATGGGGCACCTTCGGACAAATGCAACTTTTTTTTGTAACCCTTTTTGACAAAAAACTTTAAACGATAATGCAAACATAACTATGGTAACAGGGAGAAAACATAATAGGCAAAATATCTTTGGTATTAGAAGTTTTGTTTTTGCCCAAATAAAGCTACAAATTAACTCAAGCCAAAACCGTCCGAACCTGCCCCCCTCTACCCTACTTTACCTGGCTAATCAAATAAAATCAAAGTTTCTTACTTATTGGGTTTTCTCCAGACCATGACAGCAGCTGACTTTTATTAAGATTAGCGGGTACTTTTTCTCGATATACTGCGTGTGAGTACTCGAGTGGCGGGTACCGAGTACCTAAAATATACTTAAAGTACAATATTCAAGAACTGGTACTCGGATTCTGACTACCCAGCTCGGTTCGTATTTTTCAAAATTTTCTCACCCTTTAGTTAGAAACAAGTGAACAAAAATAGTAAACAATTATAGTATTTATTAATATAAAAATAATTATCTATATACCTATTGTTGACAGCGTATCTATGAAAATTTACATTTTATTTTTTTGGTCAATACTGGATGTAGAACACAATCTTTTAAATTTAATTCAAGATAATTTAGTTTATTAACTTTAAATTTATTCTATTTTTAAATTTACATTATCTTCATTGAAAATGAGTTGGACCTATATAAAAAAATACTGAACTATTTTGAGAGTCTCTTTTTACTTGTTTACTATAACACAACGACAAATAATAAGAAATATAATAATATCACTTTTTATTGACTATTAAATGTAATTTTCGAGTACACTTATCTACATAATTTATTTACTACATAAGTGGGAATAATTGCGTATCATACTTTGTTTTAATCTTATATGCAGTCTTCCAAACTTCAAACAAGCAAATCGTCGAATGAAACCTGTAAAAAATAGCCAAGGGCATAGAAATATGCGTAATTATAGTCCACGCCCAGTCTCCAAAGAAATCCAAATGAGACGGCCTGAACTCAGCTCTATTTTTCTCCAAAGTATTTATGGCCCACAGCGCCATATTGGCGACTATCAAAAAAGTAATAATCTCCCTTCCTGGCTTATATTTTACTTGTTCAATGCTTCTACATCTTCTCCACCAAGCGTCCAAAACAAAAATAGTCTGTATGCAGGTTTGAATGAAGGAAAAAATTTCTGCTATCATTTCTACTTCGTTGTTAGCGTCTTTTGCGAAGCAGCAACCGATAATGGAGAACACGCAGTATATGAACATTCCAGTTTGGGCTACTACCAGCAGGGTGCAGTCTAGGCCTATTCCTGTGCTGTTTTCCTTCGTGGCCTAAAATATAATTTAATTAAAAATAATGTGAAAATACTCTCACCACTTAATTCAGTTTTATTTATTAAATTATTTATTGATCTCTCTCATTTAAAGATAATATATATATCATCTAGTTTACAATTGTTTAAAATAATAGAGATTTGTCCTATGACATTATATATAGTTGAATTATATACAAAACTATCATTTTTATATAACATCAAATGACTTAGTTTATTTTTCTATTACTTTTTCGTAGTACTCTAAGAGTTCTGATTTCATTTCACAACTAGTTAGGGGGAAAGTCGGGTAGCATCGGACATGATAACAAATCATTGCAAAACATACTTTTATTAACAAAGTTGTCCAACAAAATTATATTCAAACGATTATTTTATATGTATATTACATGTCTAAAAACATAAATATTCAACAATAAATACAAATTCTTTGAACAAAGATAATTAAACATATTTGAATTCTGAAAAATTGGCAGGTAATACCGGACACGAAAAAAAGTTGCTGTCATTGCAGCACAAAACAAAAATGTTAACAGTTATCACACCTGTAATACATTTGACCTTTTTCCCACATTAGAACAAGCCTCATGGATCCAGTTTTTACTTTCACAACACTGGATCCAGTCTTCATCGAAACTTTCATGACAAATGAGACAATAAGTTTTTTGGGTTTCTTTAGTCTTCTCTTTATGTGCTTTTTGTTTCTTTTGTTCTTGTGCACCTGGTTTCTCAACTATATTTGCATTATCACTTAAATTTTTCTTTGCCTTATTAGCCTTGTTTATATTTTTCTCTTTCATCTCATTTTTAAATGGAGTGGAAGTAAGCACTTCACTTTTTTTAGCACGTCTTTTTCTTGAAACCATTTTACGTTCAGCAGCATTGGGGATTGGAGAAATTTCTTCTAGGAGATCACTAACACTTTTTCCTAAAGTTGTATTCGGATCAATAATATTTTTTTCGGCAAATTTTCTCCTGCCTTTGGTTGGATTTCTTTGTTCAGAACACGGCGGGTTGATTTGGCTAGTTGAAGGCTGGCTAGTTGAAGGTTGGTAAGTTTCATTTAATGTGCAGAGGTTTACGACTTTTTTACATGGAGTTTTCATTTCAGATGTACCAGGAAGTTCTTGTTCGTTAAGCTTTGGCGGCGTTTTTGGTAACGTAGGTATTTGTAGGTATTCTAGTGATTCTATTGGCACGTTTTCTTTCTCATTACAACTATCATCAACAGTGGGTGTTAAAGCATGAGTTTCCCTTGGTTCTGGGTTCTAGTCCTTCCGATGCAATAAAATCCAAGTCTGCAAAAATCTGTGAATTCAATGGATAAATGCCGCTACACTCAAAACCTCTCTTAGATGAGTCCATCCTGCAAATTTTCGTAAACGCCTCGTTCACCAGACCTGCGATTTCATGATCACTAATTGTCATAAAGGGATTTTGTCTCATCCAGCGAGATGCTGCTTCATTGTAGGCATCCTTGAATGGCTTCATTACACACACATCCAAAGGTTGCAACTTATGGGTGCAATGAGAGGGTAAGCCTAACATATGGATATGGTTTTTGCGGGCAAAGTTAATGACTTTTAAATCTTTATGGCTGCAATGTCCATCAACAATTAGAAGTACTGGCTCCTCTTTAGATGCACGTGTGATTTTTACAAACGCCTGCATCCATTTTAAAAAAAATTCATAGAATTTTCCGGAGCGCCAATTTTTAGTCGCTCAATAATTTTTTTCTGGGCAAAATGAATAGTGGAGGTATGAATTCATTTCCTGCCACATTGATACATAATAATACAGTTATAGTGCGGCCTTTTTCAACAGAAGTAATTTTACCAACTTGTTTTTTCCCTTTATTGAGACGACTTTCTGCCGACACACGTGGACTGTAGACACACCAGTTTCGTCAGCGTTTTAAATTTTATTGGCCCCAAAGTTATGTTTTCGCATTAGTTCTTCAAGTTTGTTAAAAAATCTTGTAACTTGTGGTCGATTGAAGCGTACTGCTCTCTGTAAACTCGTTGACTCAGCAGTTCTTAAAGATAGCTCAGGATGACGTTTAAGAAATGTATAATAAAAGTATTTTCCAGCAGTATTTTTTTTCCTTATTAAATCTATGTGGAATTTTTAAGCGCTCCGCCAAATCAAACGCAAGTTTTAAAAATTCTTTTCTGGTGATGGGCATTAGGCGACTATCCAAATCTCGCATGTGGTCCACAAGCTGCTGTTCATAATTGGCGGGAAATGTGCAGCGATATCGTCCAAGACTTGGAATACGTTGTATTTCTTCGTTATTTTTCAAATGTTTTACTTTATCAGCAAGCGTACTTTTGGGAATACCATATCGTTTTGCCGCCTTTCTGATTGTCAATTCGTTATCAAGCACTTTTCTAACTGCTTTTCTCATATGATCTTCGTCCCATTGCCCACGTATATTTTTGTTAATAAACTTAAGCATTTCAGATGTTCTAGAAAAAAATTTGAAATTATTTTGCGTCCGGTAATACCCGATATGTTCGTGTCCGGTGACACCCGACATGCACCTTGAGATCAATTTACTATTAACAGGTAGGTATTTAAAATGAAGAGTATCTGTACACATTTTAATATTCGCTACTTATATGTGCAGGCATTGTGAAGAGGGCACACAATTCTTTCTTTCTTTCTTTCTTTCTTTCTTTCTTTCCTTTCTTTCTTTCTTTCTTTCCTTTCTTTCTTTCTTTCTTTCTTTCTTTCTTTCTTTCTTTCTTTCTTTCTTTCTTTCTTTCTTTCTTTCTTTCTTTCTTTCTTCTCTCTTTCTTTCTTTCTTTCTTTCTTTCTTTCTTTCTTTCTTTCTTTCTTTCTTTTCTTTCTTTCTTTCTTTCTTTCTTTCTTTTCTTTCTTTCTTTTCTTTTCTTTCTTTCTTTCTTTCTTTCTTTCTTTCTTTCTTTCTTTCTTTCTTTCTTTCTTTCTTTCTTTCTTCTTCTTTCTTTCTTTCTTTCTTTCTTTCTTTCTTTCTTTCTTTCTTTCTTTCTTTCTTTCTTTCTTTCTTTCTTTCTTTCTTTCTTTCTTTCTTTCTTTTCTTTCTTTCTTTCTTTCTTTCTTTCTTTCTTTCTTTCTTTCTTTCTTTCTTTCTTTTCTTTCTTTCTTTCTTTCTTCTCTCTTCTTTCTTCTCTTTCTTTCTTTCTTCTCCTTTCTTTCTTTCTTTCTTTCTTCTTCTTTCCTTTCTTTCTTTCTTTCTTTCTTTCTTTCTCTTTCTTTCTCTTTCTTTCTTTCTTTCTTTCTTTCTTTCTTTCTTTCTTTCTTTCTTTTTGTTATAAACAGAATTCAGTTTTTCTAAAAAACATGACGCCCTTAGTCATGTTTGAAGTAGTTTTGTACACTCATTACGATCCTAAAAACTATAGCGAGATTACCTTTTCCAAATGAATATCTTGCCACATTTGTTATGTAAGTAACTTCGTTATCATCGTTATTTTACTCACCAATTTTACGGTCGTATTTCAGATGTCGCATTTTCAACATGGCGACTACGGTTGCCAAACTCGTAACGACGTAGATTATCAGTTCGACGACGTTAACTTCGAATATTGCAACTCTTCCAGTATTGTTTTTTGTATTAGTTAGTACAAAGAACATGATAAGCGATATTATTGTTAAAACAATTACCTAAAAAAGTAAATACAAATAATACTCGTACCCTAGAGGGAAATAAATTAGGTAATTAAAAGAAAAAAAATCGTAAATTAGTAGACAAGAGAAAAAAATAAAGAACAACGAAAAAACTCGAAATTGATAGGGGAATATACCTGCAACTATTTCTTTTAAATAAAGTAGACAACTAGACATACAGTGTTGAAATCTGTAAATAATTTAGTATTTCGCGTTGTAGTGCCGACTCATAAAAGTATTCTAATAAATAGAATTCCTTTGTGAAAAATAATGAACATATTTAAAAACATAACTATTATTTCGTGATATTGTGTCGCCAAAATTTTAGTAGTAATGCCGGGAGACATCTTTGTACCTTCTGCAATTTGCGTCCGTATTTGAAATATTTGAGAAACTGTGTATATTTCGAATTTTGAAGAAAACTCGAAAACTGGATTAAGGAAAAAAACATTAAATTTTATACTTAAGTTTTATTTCGGCCTAAGGTGAAATGATTAGATTTTGGACAAAGTCGGAGCATCTGGGGGGTACTTTATAGGAGGGTTGTTTTTATATTTTATGGAATATATCTGTTATTTATGTTTGGAGAAGAAAATTGTTCCAATAAAAGTTACTTTTTATATTATCTATAATTTCTGCTTTATATCAAATTTTCCTGTAATTGTCCGTATTCGAGAAATTTGACAAAATGTACAAAATTCTGCTTTTTTAAGAAAATTGTTAAACTAAAAGTTGTTTGCGTCATCGATCTCTATAATTATTTTTTACGTGATTTTTCTAAAATGGACCGTAATGGAAAAAATTGGAGGAAAAGTGCTAAATTTTAATTTTTCACTATTTTTATTCTCAATGAATATATATAGAAAAATGTATACCTATATTTAGTTTATCCTCCAAACATTTATAGAGGTGCTGCAATAGGTTGTACAAAATAACCGGAAAAAACCTATAATAACTAGTTAGGAAAGTCATGTGTTGGACACATCAGATTCTGTAGTATTTAGTTGCTCCAATTTAAAAAAATGGAAATGAAAAATAGAAAAGGAATAGAAACATTGTAAACATTTTTATGGAAGTAAAAATTGAGAAAAACACCCAAATAAATAAAAGATATAAACTTACTAATATTCCTGCAAATAAGCCTTTATGGGCATTTGAGCAGTCAATTGTAAAATGATGATTTGAATTTACTACTCTTCCTCCATATTGATCTAAAACAAAAAAATAACAAAAATTTAATTAGTAGCCAAAGTCATCCGAATCTTTCCAAAAAATCTTTTTCCTACAACCACTTAGGAATGTGACACATATCACACTATATAGTCCTATGGAAAGTGCCCTTTATCACACGCGTATGAATAAGAATTTACTTTCCACCCGTGTACGAATATGCTACTTTCCACAGCAGCTGTCACAAAATGTCAATCACATCATTTCTATTTTGATCTATGTAATGTCCATAATAACACTAAAATCGATATGATTGTTAAATTATTGAAATTGTTGTTAATTAGATCCTAGATATTTATCTTTAACTATTATTATTAAAATAATTTTAAAATAACTAAGATATGTTTGCTTTTTATTCTGGTTAAACACATAATCGATTAGATCATCTAATTGAGTCTCAGAGTGTCAAACTTATCAACTTTGCCATTTGAGACCTGACGAGCGACCGTGTTCAAATCCTGGCGGGGCCAGAAGTTTTTTTGTTTTTTATTTTTTTTTTATTTTTTTATTTTTTTTTGTTTTTTTTTATTTTTTTTTGTTTTTTAATTTTTTTTTATGAAAATTGAATAAATACGATTATTGTTGGTTAATATTTTATTTGAATTTTAATTATTATAATAATAACCTTGTTTTACATTTTTTGATGAAATTATTTTGTGGTCGTAGGAAAAATAGTGTACATCACTTGTGTGAAAAGTGATTTTCCACACTCGTGTGATAGTCGCAGTCGGCTTGTGCCTCGTGCGACAATATTTCCTACTCGTGTCAAAAAATTTACTTTCCACAAAATTTCAAAAAATGTTTAACTTTTCATAAATTATTTTTCATGAAAGATCAATTAGTTATGGTAATTTTGATGGCATGGTTATAGTTTATGTCCCGAGAAGACCCTGCAGATCTTACCTCTATTTATTTTCTTAGTATAGAAAAGGTTTTTGATTGCTTAATAATAAAGAGTGATTCACAAAAATATGTTTACAAAATAGGTTTTGGTAAAAGTCACGTATGTCGAGCGTACAAATATTTTTCTTTTTAATTGTCAGTGTGTATTTAATTCGGTACGACTCATGTTATCACGGACATATCCCACTTAACTGACATATACTATATAATGCAATCAGACATTACTAAGCCCAAAACGTTACATTTCAAATGATATATGAAGCCCACTAGTCACTTACGACGCCCGATTTCGGGCTTCCTAAAAATACAGTGGATAAATTCGTTTTAGAGGCAAGTAACTCCATCTGTATCGTTTAAGCAAAAAAGGGTGGGCTTCAAAATGTCGGAAAATACCTCCAAATATACGCCTGTAGTTCAGTTGTTTCAGCGGCAGAAGGCACAAGAGTCAAACGCGATTATATACAGATCATGTTAAACAAACCACCTCTACGAAGCCCATCACATCCGGTAACACTATAGTCTCGGAAATAATGAATTATTTACACATTTCAGATTTATTTTAACGTTTAACACATTTTCTGCTGGCACGTGATCAGATATGCGTGTTACGGTGCGTCGATTTTTTCACTTAAGTGATAAAAAGTTATAATATTTTAAATTTTTAGATAAATTTATTTAGTTGTGAGAAGGAGGTATTCATGAAAGTACCTGAAATATTTATTAACAAAAAAAGAATTATTGAAATTGTTGTTAATTAGATCCTAGATATTTATCTTTAACTATTATTATTAAAATAATTTTAAAATAACTAAGATATGTTTGCTTTTTATTCTGGTTAAACACATAATCGATTAGATCATCTAATTGAGTCTCAGAGTGTCAAACTTATCAACTTTGCCATTTGAGACCTGACGAGCGACCGTGTTCAAATCCTGGCGGGGCCAGAAGTTTTTTTGTTTTTTATTTTTTTTTTATTTTTTTATTTTTTTTTGTTTTTTTTTATTTTTTTTTTGTTTTTTAATTTTTTTTTATGAAAATTGAATAAATACGATTATTGTTGGTTAATATTTTATTTGAATTTTAATTATTATAATAATAACCTTGTTTTACATTTTTTGATGAAATTATTTTGTGGTCGTAGGAAAAATAGTGTACATCACTTGTGTGAAAAGTGATTTTCCACACTCGTGTGATAGTCGCAGTCGGCTTGTGCCTCGTGCGACAATATTTCCTACTCGTGTCAAAAAATTTACTTTCCACAAAATTTCAAAAAATGTTTAACTTTTCATAAATTATTTTTCATGAAAGATCAATTAGTTATGGTAATTTTGATGGCATGGTTATAGTTTATGTCCCGAGAAGACCCTGCAGATCTTACCTCTATTTATTTTCTTAGTATAGAAAAGGTTTTTGATTGCTTAATAATAAAGAGTGATTCACAAAAATATGTTTACAAAATAGGTTTTGGTAAAAGTCACGTATGTCGAGCGTACAAATATTTTTCTTTTTAATTGTCAGTGTGTATTTAATTCGGTACGACTCATGTTATCACGGACATATCCCACTTAACTGACATATACTATATAATGCAATCAGACATTACTAAGCCCAAAACGTTACATTTCAAATGATATATGAAGCCCACTAGTCACTTACGACGCCCGATTTCGGGCTTCCTAAAAATACAGTGGATAAATTCGTTTTAGAGGCAAGTAACTCCATCTGTATCGTTTAAGCAAAAAAGGGTGGGCTTCAAAATGTCGGAAAATACCTCCAAATATACGCCTGTAGTTCAGTTGTTTCAGCGGCAGAAGGCACAAGAGTCAAACGCGATTATATACAGATCATGTTAAACAAACCACCTCTACGAAGCCCATCACATCCGGTAACACTATAGTCTCGGAAATAATGAATTATTTACACATTTCAGATTTATTTTAACGTTTAACACATTTTCTGCTGGCACGTGATCAGATATGCGTGTTACGGTGCGTCGATTTTTTCACTTAAGTGATAAAAAGTTATAATATTTTAAATTTTTAGATAAATTTATTTAGTTGTGAGAAGGAGGTATTCATGAAAGTACCTGAAATATTTATTAACAAAAAAAGAATTATTAAAATTGGACAACGTGTTAAAGAATTATCGCTGAACATACATATAAAAAAATATTCCGACGAATTGAGTACCTCCTCCTTTTTTGAAGTCGATTAAAAATATATCTGATGAGGGTTCTATAAAAATTTAAATTATTGGAGGGTAGGTTGTACTACAGCACTTAGGCCTCACTAGATATATTGTGCATCCTCCTGAATTAAGAGGCCCCTCTTAGTTCGTCAGCTAGCCTACAAATTTAATGTAGTTGACAACGTCGCCGAGAAGTGTTTATATCGGCCGGTGTTAGCCAATACTCGCTGAACACAAATTTTATGATAATTCAGAGCCTTGGGCAAGGGAAGAGGATTCTCTCATCTTCTTGCTCGCATCTACTGCAGAGTGCTGATTCTGACAGTCCCATGCTATAGATGTGCTTCTGTGCTTGGCAATGTCTATGGTCAGGCACATATTCTGTCGAGTCATAGTCAAGTAATTATTTGCTGTTATGTTGTTGGGATAACTTTAAAGCACCCTGATTACTCTGCAGCTTCTTGTTGTTTTGTATCTTTTCTTGAATTTCACAAGGGAATGTTATTTAAACAAATTTGCCATTACCGATGAATAAGTCCAATTAAAGGGCCAGGTCCAAAAACCAAAAAGTATTTGGTTGTCTGCCTTTTCGCCTAGTGAATCAGCAAAACGGTAACGTTTTAATTGGGTAACCTCTGATCCATCTTAAATTGATCACATTATTGATAGCTACGTGACATTCTAGTACTAACCCTGAGTAAATTATTAATGGTCTGACCAGCGTGAGTAGTTCTTGTCTGCTATCTCTGTGTTTGATACTGTTTATTTTAACTTCTTTTGATGCTATGAGTATCCCGTGAGCTCTATTTGAACTGCACTGAAATTATTGCTCAGAGTACATTTTATATTTAGGTTTAACGATGGGTACTGTCACATCCTAAGCCTATTTTTCTTTTTGAATCACAGATGTAGATATGAATTTTACCCTTATAACTTTATATGGCTTATGGAAGATATATCTCGCTGAGATGTGGTCCATGTTCGTTAGAACAAATGGAAGCGTATCGAGTGCCTCCCGTCGAAAACGACGTCTCGCTAGATCCTACATCAGGTTCTATTCCAATCGTGCAAAGTCATGTCATTGTCATCAAAGCAACCTGTTTGATTAAAATATCAAGAGGAGTGAGATTGAGAATGACTTCTACGGCTCCGGTTGATAGGTACATACAATCTATTGTTCGAGAAATAGCACAAATATAGTATACAGAGTGATTCCAAAGTTAGTACTTTTTTTTAAATGTGTAGTCATTAAAATAAACAATTTTAAAAAATCACAAGGATTAAGGTCTGGTATCCATGAATCTGGCCCATTTCAACGGATACACTTATTCTGAAAAGTAATGTTTAAAAACTATCGTACTTTCCGACTAATGATAGAGCCAGATTTATATATTTTAATACGCAACTTTCTTTGTTTCGTGGCCACCGAGCTAAATCATTGAATTTTTTGTTTTTTTTTTTCTTATATTTATTTTTGACTTTTTTTTTAAATTTTATTTATTTAAAAATGAAATTTACGTGAATAGTTACGTATCTAAAAAAGTTATGTATATAAAGAAGGAATTTAGTTAAGAAAGTAATTTATTTGAAAAGTTATTTATTTGAAATATTTATTTGAACAATTTATTAATTTGTAATATTTATTTGAACAATTTATTAATTTGAAAAATTTATTAATTTGAAAAATTTATTAATTTGAAAAAATTATTAATTTGAAAAAATTATTAATTTGAAAAATTTATTAATTTGAAAAAGTTATTTATTTCAAGTTAAGCCTGAAACGGCGCTTGGCTCGAATTGGCACATCAAACTGCCGTCTAGGAATCTCAACAGTAAATGTCATGATGGTATAGAGTTAGGGCATTTGTGTACAGAACAAAGATATCTGGGT